TGGGCCAGCGTGTGCCGGCTCCCGACGCCTGGCCTGCCTCCCAGGAGTGGCAGCCACCAAGCTGCAGAACAGGAAGTTCTACCCAATGGTGTGCTCCACGGCGGCCAAGAGCAGCATGAAGGTGACCTGCTGCCGCGCCAGCCCCACGTCCCTGCAGTACCTGTGCTGCTGCCGCCTGCGCCAGCTGCGGCCGGACTCGGCGGACACGCTCGAGGGTCTGCCGCTGCCGCCCGGCCTCAAACAGGTGCTCCGGAACAAGCTGGGTTGGGTCCTGAGCATGAGCCGCCGCGAGCCCCAGGCGCGCGAGCCCACCGCAGCAGCCCTGGCCAGCCCTGATGAGCCCAGGCCCTGCCAGAGAAAGCGCTGCCGACGGACCTGATTCCCATGAAGACCGCCTCTGCCACTCTGGGCTGGCAGCTCCTGGCAGTGCCGCACAGAGGCTCCAGGCTGTCGCCTGCCTGAGCCCAGTCCACTGCCCAGGCTGTTGGGGAAGTGGCTGCAGTGTCCTCAGGCCTCTGGGGAGGGACGCTGGGCACTTCTGGACCGAGCCTGCAGGCCCAGGAGCTGGGGGCTGCATCTGTGGCCTGGAGAAGGGCAGGGCCGGGCCCCCCAGAGCTCAGCTGTTCCTGGTCCCATGGGGCCTAGGCTTTCCCCTAACTGGCTTTGCATGTGGTCAGCTGCCACTCCCATCAGAGACCTAACGACTGTAATAAACGCAATTTCTGCTGACGCTGCGCCAGCCCGGCCTGGCCTTTAGCATTGGTGGTTTGCCTTTGGGTCTGGGTGTCCTGGCTCCCCTGGGAAGTGTTTCCTTGGAAACACCATTTTTCTGTCTCTGAAGGTGACACCCCCAGCCTGCAGGGAGCAGAGGGGACCTGGGTGCTGTCCCCCAGCAAGGCAGGCCCTGTCTCAGGGTCCCCTGTGACCAGCATGGCTGGGCCCAGGGCAGATGAGTACGCTGTGGACCTGGGGCTGCTTGCCTGGAAGAGAACTTCCTCTGCTCGTCCCGATCACTCTTGACCTTTCTCTGTGCCCTTGCCCTGCCTTGAGGTGAACTAAACCCGGGTTGCTGGTGCCACTGGCACCGGGCCACCCTCAGGTGTCGGCCAGTGCCCAGGTGGCAGCTGGCCGTCTCCTACTTGGCAGGAAGAGGCGTGTCCTCGGTCCCGCAGGAGTGGTCAGGAGCCCAGGTCCAGCAGGAGATCAGGGTTGGTAGTGGTCAGGAGGAGGCAGATGCGGCGGGAGAGGTCAGGCCCCACCCTGCGGGGGCGCCTGCCCTCACTGTCCTTGACGGGGATGTGAGCCAGAAGACCCAGGCGTTCCTGCTCTGTGCTGCAGGCTGCCAGGGCCTAGGACAGGCACAGGGGTGAGCAGGGCGGGCCTCAGGGCTCCATCCTCCATGCAGGGCAAGGGGTGTAAGCAGGGGCCCACCTGCTGCAGAAGGCGGGGGCAGGGGAAGGCGGTGACAACGGCATCGGCCACAGCCGGGCTGACCCGGTGTAGCTGCCTGATCTGCCTCCACCAAACCCCCCGCAGCCCTGTGCCATCTCTCGCCACCCGCTCGCCAGATGCCCAGCGGCCTGCCGTGCAGAAGGGAAAGGCCTGGAGCTGCTGGTACCGCCTAGAGAGTGCACAGGCTGCTGTTGGCACGCCCCCTCCTGGGCCACCCTCCCCCAGCAAGCCCTCCAAGGGCCAGAGAGGCACTGCCCTCAGGCGACCCTGTCCCCTCCAGATACTGTGCCAGTTCGGCAGGAGGCACGCACTTGAAGGGGCGCTGGGCGAAGGCTCTGGTGAAGGCACATACGTGCTGGCTCAGCTCTTGCCAGGAGGCCACCAGCAGCACGTCTGCATCTGCCTGGAGCTGCAGCAGCACCAGGGCCTGGGCAGGGTGAGGTCAGCCTGTGGGTGCGGGCAGGAGGGCTCCCGCAGAGGTGGCCGGGGCCCACCCATGCACTGCCCTGGGGCTGTGTCCCACTGAGGGCTTCACCCTGCCCACCCCAGCCCTCTTACCTCCTCCACCTCAGGCCAGCCAATGGCCACCTGGGCACGGGCTGCTGCGGGACCTTGTGGCCACTGCTTGCCCTGGTCAGGGTCCCCGTGAGACCTGAGCAGACATGTGGTCCTTCCAGCTCCCCACACCCCGCTGGTCCTGCCCTCCCAGTCTCCCTGGCTCCACAGCAGCCCCCACGGGTGCCCCCTCCTTGCTCCATCTCCCTCCCGACGAGCCCTGCAAGGCCTCAGGGTGCATTGTACCACAGGTAGGCATCCAGTCCAACGACAGCCAGGTGGAGGCGGGCAGGGCTCTCAGAAGAGAGCCAGGGCACTGAGCAGGTCGGGCCAGAGAGCTGAGGGCAAGAACAGGTTGCATTTGTGGGAGGGCTTCGGCACGGCCCTGGGCCACCACACAGACCCCTCTGCAGAAGGCAGCGTGGCAAGTCCAGGGTAGAGCCGGTGGCGCAGGTAGGGCTGGCAGGTGCCCCCTCAGTACCCACCCGGGCTTCTAGAGCACCTGGACCCAGCACCCTCATTCCTGGTTTACGTCTGCACCCCAGCCTGGAATCAGCTGGCACACAGCAGGTGCTCAGTAAACGCTGAGCCAGGCCACAGCGACAGCGACGGGCCTAACCTGAACACATGCTGGTCCGCCAGCTCAGCGGGCTGCCCCCTCCAGCCTGGCTACCCAAGCAGCTGGAGCAGTGTGGCCAGCCCCTGGCCCTGCCCCTCACCAGTTGTGGACAGCTGACCCCAGCTCCCTCCCGAGGTCCTGTGTTGGCTCCTGTTCTGGTGGGGCAGCGTGTGGGAGAGGCCCTGCTGGCCCTGTTCACCTTCCCCGGGACACCTGCAGCTTCAGACTAGAGGAGCCCCAGCCCAGCCGAGCACCTGCGTGAGCTGGACCACGCTCTGCAGGAACTCCTGGGGCTTCAGCAGCTGCAGCAGCTCCTGGTCTGCAGCCCACACCTCTGGAGGTACCTGTGGGGACATCGGGACACACCCATGAGCTGCCCTCCACAGCCAAGCCCAGGCCGGCTCCAGAGTCTGGGGCCTAGCCGCAAGGGCCAGCCCTGCTCCTGTCGTGCCTCGCTCCAAGGCGCCCACCCAGAGCCCATGCATCATCCCCAAGATGTGCACATGGCCAGCGCACACCCAGCCTGGCTGGGCCTGAGCCACCAGGAATGGGCGTCCTGCGGTGAGACCCTCCTGGGACACTCACGCCGCCCGGGCAGGGGTCAGGCCTGACCCTACTCCACAGGAGGCTGCGGGCAGGGTGTTGGGGCTGGAGGAGGGGCTCACAGCCCAGGTCGCTCAGGGCCTCCAGCAGCACGTCGGCGCCAGCGTCCTCCAGGATGGCTGGGCAGCGGGAGAGAGATCGAGCGGTCACCTCCCTGCCACCCGAGGGCCCGTGTGCCGCTGGCCCTGACCGCGAAGCTGCCCGCCCATCGGTCCGTCCCGGCTTGCCGCACCCGGGTCCACGCGCACCACCAGGCGCCTCAGGGCCTGCTCGGGCCGCA